TGAACAAGACTGGACCCAGGACTGACCCCTGAGGGACACCACTAGCTACAGGCCTCCAACTTGACTCTGCGCCATTCACCACAACCCTCTGAGCTCGGCCATCCAGCCAGTTCTCCATCCACCTCACTGTCCACTCGTCTAAGCCTGCACTTCCTGAGCTTACCTAGGAGGATGTGATGGGAGACAGTGTCCAAAGCCTTGCTGAAGTCCAGGGAGACAACATCCACTGCTCTGCCCTCATCTGCCCAGCCAGTCATTCCGTCATAGAAGGCTATCAGATTGGTCAAGCATGATTTCCCTTTGGGGAATCCATGCTGACTACTCCTGATCACCTTCTTGTCCTCCAGATGCTTAGTGATGAGATAGTTCTTCATGCAATGGCCAGAACATCTTGTGGATGGGTACAAGAGCTTCATATGTGTTTGAGGACAGACTGGGCAATTACTTGAAGAGAGAGTGATTGGGGAGGGCTTCCTAAATAGACAAACCACAGTAGCATCATGAAATATAGCTGGAGACTGGGAAAGTAACCAGGTGGAGGGAGGGGAAGTATTGCACGTGTTTGCCTTACAATTATGGTCACTGCTGGAGACAGAACGTGGGCTGGGCAGGCGCTTGGTGTGAACCAGGGCAGCACTCTCAGCACCTGCACGGCATGCAGGAAGGGACACATGTACCTGCTCCCACCAGAATGGGACATACACACCTCAGCTCCTAGTGTAAAACTCAGGGTTGGCACTAACTTGGTCTTATACCTGGGTAAAAACTATTTACTTTTTGTAGTATTAATCTAAGATAACCCTTCAATCAGTTCAGTTATATCACAAAGCTATACCATAAAAACAGCCCTAATGAAGACTGCCATGAGACTTCCATGTTTATCACTGAGGTTGGAGACAAACTCTTCATTGCTGGAAAAAAAAAAAAAAAAAAGAAGGGCAAGAGGCTGATTGTTTTGGTTTTTACAGTAAGGTATGTAAAGAACAATAATTTTTGTGGTGCAAAAAGATAATGTAGAAAAAGCTTCTTTCCCTGCAGGACAGTTAGGCAAAGTCAGAGCTAAGTCCAGCTTCTGGTTAACTCTATCCAGTTTACTTCACCCATCAAGACAGGTTCTTGTTTTTAGCACTTTATAGCTAATAAGCATCAGTTATCTTACTACAAAAAATTGCATTTCTTTATAGCAAAGAACCCAAGCCGCAAATCTTATACAGGCCTACTCTGCTGCAGTATCCTGCTAATGACAGGCAAACTGAGAGCAGATAGAGAAATAGGCTGCTTTTCAGGGAAATGAAGGTGACCCTTAAAAACAGAACTTGGCTTTGAGTCGGGCATTGGGTGGATGTGAGCCTGCATGAGGCCAGGAAGAGATACACCATGTCAGGGTGGCAGGAAGAATAGCTATTTGCTGCTTGATTTCTACGAGTTGGTCTGAAGATCCTCTTTGTGAGGTCCCTGTGGGATCTTTCAGCAGGTTAACCCCTGCGTATTGTTAGGGAATAACAAGAGTTCAAGAAATCTGCCCTAGAGAGTTAGGCTTTGACAAGCAACAGATTGCATGAATTGTACCTATATGTAATCATGCAATAAAATGAATTTAAAGAACAGTGCAACGCAGGATACGGCAAACACATATGCTACAACGGTACAAAATTTATGCCAAGGATGACTGTTAATACAGAATAAAAAAATAAATGTAAAAGAAGAGGTGAAGATAGATAAAATTAAGAGTAAGATTTCAAAGAAACATTAATAAATAAATTATATATTAGGACAAAAAAAACCTTTGATTTATCTCATTTCCACAACTAAGTGTCAAGAAAAGTAGATGGGAATCTCTGCGTGAACGTTGATTCAAGGACAGAGGAATGCATTCAAGGTGCTATGCTTCTTTGCATAATCTTAACAATATAAAACAGTTCAACCTATGTAAGGTGATTAGATATGATCATAATACCGAACCTCAGTCTACAAAAGGCAACAATCATGCTTATTGGCAGCATAACACTTGAGCCATTTCTTGTACCCTGTTACCTATGGAAAGCCCCAACACATCTCCGTATCAGGCCTCCAACATTTCTTGATCCTGCAGTCTCTTGCCCTAACTGAAGCTAAACTGACCTATCCTGCCTGTACCACTTGACATAAAATAAAGTACAACCATATTCTAGGTCATCTCTAACAGGTATCATACATCCTTTTCAGTGTTATACAAAGTATTCTCCTTATGCCAACAAGAAGAGTTAGCACTAAATGATAGTCCTACAAGCATTTGCGCTACTGGAGTTTCTCTTGGTTGTACTTCTCATGCTTTCATTTCTAATTTTTTTCCATTCCATATGCAGGTACCAAAAGAAAAAGACAAGCTGCGACAGAGAAATATTGACATATCCTGATGTACTTCCAAATCAGAAGACAAAAACATAGCAAGAGAATGGCAGTGCTTCATACTACCTTACTGTTGAGAAACCCAATTCCTTAAACTTAATAGGTTTCTTGGCAATTGCCAGACTGAATAGAAAGAAGAGAAAAGCTACAAAATTCACTAATAATAATTGCTTCTAACAAAAGGAAGATAATGTTTATCTTTAAAACTGATTCTTTGAAAAGACTGTTTATGATGTCACAAGTATATAGTTTTAATGACAAAGTTGGAATTACTTAAAAATGCTATCATTTATATTTCACAGAAAAAAATTAAAATGAAATTTGATATTTAAATATATAGGGAAAAGTCTGAAGTTATGTGGTCTAATAGAATAAATGCAGCATTTGTTTTTAAGATTCAGTGTCATTTTATCCATATTAAGGTTTGGAACTATCTGAGATACCTCGCCCATACTACAACCTAGGTAGAGAGGGAACATTTATTTTACATCAATTGCAGATTTTGTTTTGGTTTTTTGCTGCCACAGAACATTCACCAGAAAAATAGACGCAGTATAAGGTTAGTAGCCCCTTTTAAGCATCTAAGATCTAATGTATAATAATAATTTATAAATGCAATATATGACAAGTGACCTCAGACAGCTATTCTACCTGTGCATAGGCAGCAGACTGTTCTATACAGTCATTATATATAGGTCCTAGAAGAGATGGAAAGTTTGCACAACCAAAATATTTACAAAGTTAACATTGCTGGTGGCTGGGTCAGCCAGCCTCACCAAGCTTCTTCCCTTCCTTGTGGCTTTATAGCCACCTGACGCTATATACACAGTGTAAGTAAAGACAAATAAGCAAAGCAAACTGTAACAAAAAAGGCAGCATAAAAACTTTTCATAACCTACGAAACAAACCATCATTAGACATGGGCTGCACCTCTCTCCGTACCTACATTTCCAGTGATGGTGAAGAAATTACAAAAGCTCACAATCAGACTCTCCAACTGAGACAACTTACACTATCCATAAAATACCAGACAAAATTTCATCACATCATACTCTGAAAACTCTTACATGAATGCACGTGGCACACCAAAAAGTTTTGTAGTAACTTGTATCTTCAGCTTTTTAACCTTAAATCCAGCATCTGAGAGCAATAACTATATATCAGCTAAGAACAAACACCACAAAACATATGCCAATATGAAGAAAAATCAAAAATACAGTATAATATTTTAATACAATGCATATATGCATAATCTTGAAAAATTCCTTTGGGTATTTTTAAAGAAGTTTATGCTGAAAATACTAATTAATAATTTCTATAATAAGCTTATGCAACTTATGCATAATATTGTCCAATTCAAGGTAAAGGTGAAACCAATGCAATCTTAAACAGGATTTGTCTGAAAATGCAAATAAAAGGACAAATAAAATAAATTTAAGAATAAATAAAATAAATTAAGAAAAGTATAAAGCCTTAAGTCACTTGTTCTGACCTCACAGACAACCTTGTGAGCAGAATGTTAGACTAGAGACCTCATAAGGTCCACTTCAACCTGAATTTTCCTGATTCTTATGGAAAACAATAGTATTCTGCATATCTTGAAGAAAAGAATAACATCTCTTGAAACTGAATTTTTGACAATTAGTTGTAATTTTGCTAACTGCGTGATTTAACGCATTTTGCCAGAAGGACTGTGCTCTGCCAAGAACCTATATTTGACATTGAAGATAAATTGCAGAGGAGGAATAAGGCCAGATGACCACTGTAGATGAGTAAAGTCTTCAGGTAAAGGAGGGAACTGAATACATCCAGTACGTGAATGTAGTCCCACCAAGAACAATGAGCTCACAAATCAGATAAAATCAATTTGGAATTAGGCTGCTTTTCAAATGTTGGCTCTGGAGACTTGCAGCAATGAGAAATAATGAGCAGACAACAGCCTCTACCTAGAGACAAAAAGCCTTCAGCATCTTCAGCATCTTCACTTTCAATCAGGCACTTCTTTGCAGAGTAGTTGATATAACCAAATTCTAACAGTTATGCAGAAATTACCATCTGGAACACAATATGCAGCAAGGGCTTCTGCCCTTGACATGTTTGACATCAAGAAGACGTGTTTCATTGGACAAAGCAAGGAAAGGATATTTGAACACTGTAAAAATTGATAGGGAAATTCCAAGTGGGATTTTATTTTCATTCTTCTGCTAAGGGAATCAATTTTACCAGCCCAGAAAGTATTCCAAGGAGGTATATGATACAGTCATTTATTTTGCTCTGCTATAATTTCTTTTCTGCTTTCAGTAATTGTTGTGAATTAAAATGTTTTAGTAACAACGTAAGCAAATATGGATATTTTCTTTTTTTTCTGCAAGGACTATTATTGCATTAGGTACCTCTACTGAAATGAGAATCCCTCCGTTTCTAGGGAGTCTAATTGCCTACGTTGTGCACCTGTCAGTATTTGCTTGCTCCTACTAAGATATGTTACAAAGAGACATGACAGGTAAATAAAGATAAGATGACAAAGGCTAAAGAGAAAACATGACAACATAAACCAGAATTTAGCTTTTCTTTTTCTTATTCAGGCCTTCTGTAGCGTGAGACATATTGACGTCACTACAGCTTTCAAGATGCATCATGAAAATACTCAGTTTGAAACAGTTTAGCCTTATTTACTTAACTCTCCTTCTTGGGCGTGTTATAAGAACATAGTTTTTAGTGACCGTTCTTGCAAACATTTTAAAAAGTGTAGTCCCATGAACATAAAAGAGATTGTTTACTCCACCAGCATTTGAAAAAAAATGACAAGAATTCACGAGCTATTCCTGCTTTTTTCTTGAATTAATTATGTATTCTTAACAAGTGTTCGACATATGAGTTGGACCCTAAGCAAACCAGATTTCAGTGAAAAAAAACCCAAAATCTATAATCTTAATATTAAAAACTCCTGGATTTGTGCCATATTGTTAAAATAAAAAAGGTCATCAGAAATACACAAATATGTGACGCAAAACTGATTTTCTAAAAGCATTGATTTTCTAAAAGCTCTGTAGTAAATTTCCGATTTTCTATTAAGATGAAGTTCTGGCTTATGAGTCAAAGCCATTTCCCAAGTAGTCCTCATACAAGCTCCCTGGATGATGTAACATAGATCTCTGATATCCTGAAATGGTTAATATTATCATTATGTTTCAGGCCCACTCTTAAGGTCCTTGTGCTGCAAAGTGCAGCATGCTGTCACGTAAGGCTCATTTGCTGCATTGCAGCACACTTAACTGCAGCACTGGAAGCCTTCAGTAGTCTTTGCCACATTACTAAAAAAGCACAAATCTATAAGGGTTAGAAATCCAGCAGAGCCTCTGCACTGATTTTTTGTGCCATTGAGACAGTCAAAAACATTATGTCTTTGCGTACATCATTTTTCTGGAAACTGAAAATTCACTTTAAAGCAAAATCAGATAGAAGCAAGACTCAACTAACCGTTTTCTAATCTCTATACTAATACTAAAGACTGTTTACAAGAATATAAGGTAGTGAGATCAGTTAAAGATTTCAAAGGCAACCGTACACATTAACACATCCAAAAATACATTTGTCATACTTTTTCTTTCTCCTGTGCTCTACGAATCATCTCCTGTTCTTTCTGTAGCCTTTCTTTTTCATCTTTCTTTTGCTTTCTTCTGGTAGCTATAGCAGCTGCTAGTTTAGCAGCCTCCTCCTGTTGCGCTCTCCACTGTAGAACCTGAAATAAATGGTTGAAAGACTATGTTTAGACAGTTTTGCAACAGAATTTGTACAATATTGTGATCCTGCAAAGCTGAGAATGTTAAGGAAACCCACATAATCTGTTTCTAAATTAAGATTTATCATTTTATCAGTAATATGCAATCATTTAGAAGCACCATTTTGTCATATATTAAAATGTAATTCACAATTGACTGGTATATTATGCAATAAAATCATATGTGAAAAGTTAAAGATTTTAAATAAAATCGTCAAAAGCAGCTAAGTATCATCAGATCTTAAATTCCCTCTCAGCACTTACCCTTTCAGTGATATGTCAATTCCTTAAAGATACTTCTTTTTTTCTTTAAGGGAAAAAAAAAAAAAAGAGGAGATCTAGGCTTCTGTGCCACTGTGGGTGGATTTCGCAGCTTTCTAGGTTGGTATTGCATCCTGCCTGTATTTTTATTTCTTAGATTAGATGTTACTAGCAGTTAGATACTGCCAGAATAAACTCAATGGGTGCAGAGAGACATTGTTTTTCAGAGAAGCAACATGCTGGTGATCATGTCATTGTTAGTCCCTAGCTTAAGGAATGGACACACAATGAAGATCATCAAGCTGCTGCAGTTTGAGAAGAGACAAAATACCACCTGAGCCTCTGTAATCACCCATAGCCACCCCAGCTGCAGGAAAACATGCACTACCCATGTCCTCCAGCATAAGTACTTCAGGCTGTGGATCAAGTAGGGGAAAGTGAAAACTAGAGCAGGAAAACAGCAAATCAGAAAAAAATGACATAGAAAAGGATTCAGGTGCTGCTCAAGTACTAAATCTGTGGGTATGAAGTAGCAGTTTAGAGGAAGAAAACTAGGGAGCAAGTTGACAAGTCAACTTGGAAACTAAGAAAGAAAAACATCCAAAGATCAACCACTGTTTTCACCTCTGGCCCCACACCTTTTCTGTCCCTTTGCTCAGCTGACTAGTTACAGACAGATGAACTCCCCAAGGCAGCCTGCTTTCCCCTATAACTACCACAGACAGTAACTTTATATGCTGCTCTGTCTTGTTGGTTGTTGAATTCTCAACAGATTTGTGACACTGAAAAGCGCATGGAGACCGTGATTGACTCAATTTACTCAAAACCTCTTCCATAAAAAAATTTGGGATTCAAAATACTCGTTTGTTTGTTTGTTTGAAAACCTACTTCAATTCTGGTTTCGGGCTGTTTGGTGTCATCCCCAGGCCACCTAGATTGCTACAGTATAGATGCCTGGGACTTTCTCTAACAGCTAGTTGAGCTCGTGCAGAAACACCACAGACCGCAGGGGTGAGGCTGTGGTGTTGCAGTGCACCTATAGTTTACAGTGCTTGCCAAACATTTTAACAACATTTGTCAGATTGATCACTCAGCTAATTATGCCAAAATCTACTCTTGACGTATTCTTGACACACTATAATGGTTAAACAAGACAATATGCTGTCAGCATCTGTTAACATAGAGCGACCTCTTCTCAGCGTTCTCGAGCATCTTGTTCTGAGTCGGCGATCCATGGTTTATTCCAGTGCTGTCAATACTAGTTATGTGCTGATCTGTTATGCACTAGTTTCAATAGGAAAAGAACGTCTCCTTTTCACCGGCTTGCCAGTTCTTTTTGCAATGGGCTTATCAAATATTAATAGAACTCCATATTTCAGCAGTTTCAGAGACAGTATGTGAAAGTCTATTTCTAATTTCAAATCACCTTCTAGGTGTCCATTCTGTTGAAATATAGCCTTATATTTTGCTGCAATTATAGGCGTAGTTATTAGAAGCTGTTCACTAGCACGTTGAGTATATTTTTATTAAAGTTCATGGCCCTGTTGCCCACCAGAGGGTGATGCACCTACACAATCACCTACTATTAATTCAGTTGATAAATAAAATTGCTTGCTTTGTTTCCTCCATTAGCTCTTATCATCAGCATTTGGTCACGTTTCTCCAAACTAATGGTGTTTGTCAATGTTTCTGGGATAACCTTACAGCTAGGCCCACGATTCAGTCAAAAGCAAACTTGTTGGCGATCTAACTGAATCTAAAACAAAACGTGGCAGCTGAGTGGCTGGCAACCTTGTTATCCAGTACATTGAGCCTCATGGAACCGCTGAAGCAATACCGCAGATGTTCTTCTCTTTACTGGCAGTTGTTCAGTCCATGTATCGACACATTTTTCCTTCCATCATGTGAAATTATGATAGAAAGTGTTTCTATTTTCTACACTTCTTGAACAATTTCCCAATAGATGGCATATATTTTTTCCTTCTGTAAAGCTAAATATAGTGTTGTATTTATTTCCTCTTTATGGCTTGTTTTGAATTAAAAAAAAATTCCAAACCAGCAGCTCTTAAACAATATCTCTTTGCAGTCTCCCAGAACACTGAACTCAACCAACACATATAAGCAGCACTTAGAAACCTGAGTACTCTTTTTTAGCTCTAAAGAATGAGTGTTCCAGTCATTTTTCATCTAGTTTTCTTGTAAAATATTTTAAAGGACTTTGTCTTTATTGTCTCATCTTTACCGCATCTCACTGTGGCTGACTCTATTAATTCTTCTAATGATTCTGCGCATTAAAGATTTTTGTCCGGAAATCCAGCATTCCCTGTGGTGCAAGTCTCTCAGTGACTCTGTTTGCCATGCTTTTTAAATAATTATATTTTCTTCGTTGCAACATGTCCCAATAGACTAAACATCGATACCATTTCATGTCGTGTGGACAAGGTAATAATATGAAAGGGTTCAGTAGCTGTAAAATTAAACTCTCCCTTTAGTAAGAGATTTAAAAATAACTTTTAAAGAGATATTCTGCCTGTAACAAACGTCAAGTGTGCACATATTAACTACCAGTCACTTTTCTATTCTGCAACATGAGCTTATCTTTAAAAATCCCATGCAGCTTGCTACCATACCCAAGCGAATTTCTTTTGCACTGTTATTCTCCTATACTACATACACTTTTTCCATCTTCAACTCCATTCCCAAAGTTAAGAATTATGATTTAGCCGAGAGAGTGTTAAACTCTTTTAACCTCTTTTTTCCCATTCTTGTAACTACTGTTCAGTACAGATCTTAGGTCTATTCACAACCACGTGTTTCTCCTTCTGAAATCTCCTTTCTCAAGAGGAAAAGAAAAAAAAAAAAGAAAAAGGAAAAACACCCTCATCAATTAGATGTTTTACAGTAAGAAAGCAAAAGCCTGAATCAAAAATTATTCTTGTGGTTAGGAAAACGTAGGCAGCTAGGTAGAAAAAGGCATAAGAACCTGAAAACCCAAACCTCTGTACTTCCTTCCCTCTCCACCTTATTTGGATCAATGATACTAATTATTTTATGGGGCAGTGGGACAACAGCAGCACAGGATAAGCCTATCTATGCCAGCAAGTATTACCAGCACTGAGTGAATGTTAAAAGTGGTTAGCAAGGAACAGAAATGTGCGTGCATGGAAATTGCATTTGGCCAAGGAAGTCTGAAAATATGCAAGTGGGAATAATTAGTAGGACACACACATGGGAGAAAACTGGGTATGTTCATATGTATTAGTAATATAATAGCCATTAGCATATAAAGAGCTATTTTCCTTTTAGCTATTCTTACAAAATGATTTGGGACTGGAATTAAAAATTGTATAGCATGAAAAGAAAAATCAAAAGTGTTATTGCAGTATTTCTTAGCACAGATATTACTCTTTATAGTCTTTCTCCTCAAAATATTAAAACGTTCCCTTAAAAGGATCTTATACCTTGGGCACATAATTAAAAAAAAAATTGTTAATGAAAAACATATTTAGTAGAGCTTCTTTGGTAATGTTAAAACACTCTCTTTATTCTAATCCTCTCCCCATCAAAACAAAATAACTCTGAGGAAAAAATCCTTTAGCCTGTCAGAGCCATAGGTATGCTAAATTTTTATAAGAACTGAGGGTCAGACTGAGCACTTATGGAACATATAAAACACCTTTTTTTTTTCATAGTTTTCTGTTAATGAGAAATGACATACTACCATAAATAACCCTTAAACATAAGTACTGCAATATAAATAGCTCTAAGTATCTACATTAAAACACTTAGGTTTTTCATGAAATAAATAAATAAATAAGATTGATTCCACTTGAATATATCCTGCATGTGAATAATTTATCTTAAGTTCCTCAAAAAAAGGTTATTGACAGAGGTACTAGGCAAAATTTTTTGTGAAGCATATTCCTCCCAAAAATTCTCATGCTTTTGGTCATCCTAAATACTTTAATGACTTTAAGTTGTATTTTCCAAATAGTTTCCAAAAGATATATATATTTTTAATGACTTGATTAATAAGATTGCCATGGCACAAATACCTTGAGCACTCTTTATGTAGGACATAGGAGATCCTCATTCAATGCTTTACTCTGTATAAAGGAATATGAAGTCACGTCTACAGTTAGAATTATTCCAAGTTGCAGAAATAACAAAATACTTTTTGAGGTAGGGACCTGTACCCAGCTTTTCAAAAAATTAGAGTGGACACCATTTCTAAATTAGTTTGAACCAGGGCCTTCTCATTCCCTGACATTGCAGCTGTTCCACTTGAAAATCACCAGGAAAGTAGAAGAGTGACTCTTCCAGTGCCAGGATATTCACTTGGGAACATCATCTCTGTTCCTCACTGTCTTTTCTTGAACTTTAAAGAATTATTCTTGTGTACAGAATAACACATTTCCATCATAGTTCAGTCCTCACGTTACTCTCCCATACCAGTTCCCAAATTCAGTTTTGGGATTCCAGTCTTCCTCTCCTAATATCTGAGATGATACTTCTATAAGTTTCTTTCCAAGTTAAAAAAATTAAGCAGAAATGTAAATGCTGTAAGATTTATAATATTTATAATAATGAAAATAGAACAAGGACGACATAAGATGACTGTAATGTCTGTAAGAGACTTTTAGAGGGAAGCTGCCAATTTTCATAAGACCCACTTTCTGGAGCTTAGCTATAACATCTCA